CCCACCAGCCACTCCTCGGAAGGAAGGTTGGGCAGTCTACTTCTGTGGTAATAGTGCCTTAGAAACCCAAGGAGGGTCGCTATGAGTTGTATCTGATTCAATGGCAGTGAGTTTGGTTTTGAAGTGAGTTTGTTCTTCTCTAGTCAGTATTCTCTCTTTAACCAGTATCAACAACTCTACCTCAGCACTGCTCCATAGTAACTCCAGGTGGTACCATACCCATACCAGGTAAGTAGGATAAAAATGTGTATGGTACCCACAGAGTTGTACAACAGTTGTTTCAGCTATGCTTCTCCAGAACAATTTCTTGCCTTCTGCATACTTTAACTACTCCGAGAGTGGAATTTTAGCAGTATCTTCAGGCACTGGACTCTCCCAGCCTCCAGCCCAACTTCTCCTCAGAATTCTTAGCCTATATTAGAGACTGCATTGGTTTAAGGCCTACAGGTATATCCAGGTCAAACCTTCATGAGCCGACAGCGCAAGTAGCTGCTAAGGACATAGCGGATCCTCTCCATCTCCATTCGATGGATGCTGACCTTCAGATCCCCTTTTTTGGCTCTCCTGAGATTTTCTTCCTATTAAAAGAGAAACCCAAATTTAAAATCTCATGTTATTTAAAGATTAAGGATCTTTTTTGTTCTAGCACCATCATCATTGGGAATGTTTAGGACCCAAAGATTACATTTCAAAGGAGAACAAAAAACTAAAAAGCATGTATGAGCTCTAGTTTTCATTTTAATTATACAAATAATACATGACTAAGTTTCATTATACGAAATTCAAACAATACTCATTTGCTTTCAGAAAAAGAAAATTTAAATAGAATCTGAATGCAGTTGGTCAGAAGGGCCCAGAAGGACCCAATTGTAAAGGTCATGATTTAGCACAAAGAAGAAATGTCTGAAGGGTCTAAAATGAGGAGTTAAACCATCAGTTGAGAAACTAAAATATCAAAACTTTTAATGCTACTCTGAGCTAATAATTATTTAAGCCCAGATCATCTAAGCCAAGATCACAAACTCATATGACCATGAGGGCCAGAGAGGGAAGGTATATGAGAAAGGTGAGTAGTTAGGGAGTGTGGGGAACAGGACAGCAACAGAAAGGAGCAGCCCTTAGCCTGCTCAGGTCAAGTGTTCTGGTGTAGATATGTGGGGTCAATGATGCCAGGTCTTTAGATTTTTCATGGGAAGCTGATATGCAGATTTTTATGGGAACTCTCATGCTTGTAAATTTTGGCAACCAGTTCTATATTTCAAAAATACTGGGCTACGGCAAGCAAAACTGAAACTGATTTGCTATCATACCACAACCTCTCACTATGCTGACCAAACCCTTTAATGTTCTCTTCCTTTGTAACCCTCAGATAAGCAACTCTTACCATGTGATCTAGTTGTTCAATGACACATTCTACAATTTCCGACTTGCTTTCCAGCAGCTCAGGGGCAAACTTTTCATTCATCCAGGCCTTAAAAAAAAAAAAAGCATCACTCATAATGGAGCAAAATAACCCTTTGGGTTAGTACATACCCCATGAAAATCACAGAAATCTCAAGCAAAGAAAACTTTTTGCCTAGCACTTGGAAATACTGAAAATGCTTTGAAGACAAGCTGTTTAACAAAGGCTCTTCCACCTCCCCCCTTTTTTTTTTTTTTTGGTTGGGAGGCTGTGTTCACAACTTATATTCAACTAAAAAAAAATCTGTTTACTTCAAAATGTCAGTATGATATTTATTGCTAAGAGTAACACCGCCTGTAAAAATGGTGTGGTGGGGGCATCTGAAGCAGCTCTGGTGGTGAAGCATTAGGTTGTTAATCAAAAGAGGGTACTTCAAACCCCTCAGCCACTCTGCAGGAGAAAGATGAGACGGCTTCCATAAAGATTTACAGCCTTGGAAACCCTATGGAGGCAGTTCTACTCTGTTCTATAAGCTTGCTGTGAGTCAGAATTGATGGGGATGACAGTGGGTTTGAGAGCATCTGACCTCCTCCAACTTCATGCGGAGAATGGGAGGGAGGACCATCAGCAGCATCAGCCCAAGGCTGATTCCTATGAGACAGCGTTCGGACACACCTCCTCTCTCCAGCCTTTGTACTAGTTCTGACACCAAATGTCCCTCCCACTGTACTCTCGACTTCTCTGCTGGCCTAAAACAGTACTTTTTACCAAGAAGCACTGATACCTTTATTTTAAAATTTTTTCACAGGCTTTTTCCCATCAGGGGACACCTGCACCATTTCTATTTTAAGAGGTGAAGTTAACACTAGTATAAAGCTACACATCTCTTCATTCCTGAAGCTCCAAACATTTTACAATACTTTTTCATTCACCTTTATAGCACCTCTTGAGAGTAAATGGACACATTATCCTTATTTTATTGATGAGAAAACAGATTAAGTAATACACTAAATGCCCAAGAATTTAAACAATCACAATGGAAATAGATGTTCATCTATTAAACAGTTTTGGAGTAAGAGGTTAAATTCTGTGGTAGTTAAAGTTGTATGTCAACTTGGTTGGGCCTAGTTGAGTGGCTAGGCAGCTGGATGTAGTATTCCCCACGATGAGGCTGGTAATCATCTCCATGGGGGGGTTCTACTGGAAGCAGCTGAATGCTGCCTTTGGGTAAGCGGTCTGCTTCCCATATATAAGTAGCAGCTTTGGGAATGGTCTCCAGCTTATGGCACGCTTGGACCCTACATGTAGCCATGTCGCTGTTCAGCAGCCTGCCATGCTCTGCCGATCTTGGGACTTACAATGGACTTACAATGGCCTGCCGTGTGGTCTGGTAACATCGGGACTGTGCCATTTTATTTGTCAACCTTGGGCTTGTCAGCCTCAGCAGCTACTAGCTACCTGAGTGAAGAGACGCCTCTACCTTCAGTGGGCTGGGAGCAAGAGGCAGAGCTGAAGCCCAAGGTCGAAGGGCTTTCACCCAGCCCCTAGAGCCTGGCACTTTGAACTCAGACTTCTAGCCCCCTGAATTGTAAGAGAATAAACTCCTCTTTTTGTTAAGGCCATCCCATTTGTGGTATACTTCTGTCAGAGTGGCACTAGGTAACCAGAACAAATTCCTAATTTATGACTCAGGCCTACTAGCTTCTTTGTACATTTTAGAAACTACCAAGGCTTAGAGAACTGAAATATCCATAGATGACTAAGGAAAACCATATTTATCTTTTAAGTGCAGAAAATGTAGTTTTAGCTTAGCTCAGAATTACATGCCAATCAAACTCAATTTCTTTCTTTTTATTTCCTTGAGTCTCTGCTTCTCCAATCACCACCATCAATAACATTACTAAATACTGGGTATTGTCCATCATAAAAATTTTTTCAAATGCTTTAGCTTCGGTAATATTATTGTAGATGTATAAAATTAACCTGAAAGACCACCTATATTTTCAAACAGCTTAATCAATAAGAGATCAAATTATCAGGCAGAACTTACAAAATAGTTTTTCTTTTTTAATTGGTGTTATTAAATACTGAACAGGTATAAAAGAACATAAGGCATATATTAACCATGATAACAGTGATACAAACACCTGTGTGCATAACTTAAAGATACTACCATTATTTTAAAGGCTCTTATGCATCTCTCCCTCCTCAAATGTAATCATTAACCTGTTTAATTTTCTTTATATTTTACCATTTTGTTTGTAACTCTAACAGAGCTTCCCAGCTTTTTCAGGACAAGGCTAAAATGACAGTATTTACGTAGTATAGTAGGGTAAAATAGAGATTTAGGGGTCTCTCTCATTATCTTCTGAAATTAAGAAAATAATAAAATATAACACATTAGGGGAAATTTAAATTAGTCTAAAACTTTCAAATTAAATCCTTTCAAAACTTCTACTGCAAAATTTGTGTTTAAATCCACGGTATTTTTTAAATAATCAGGTTCTATGCTTGAAATGGAGTCCTAAGGTGGTGCAAACATTAAATGTACTCACTATTAACTGAAAGATTGGTGGTTTGAGTCTGAGAGGCACCTCAGAAAGCCTGGTGACCTAATGAAAAACCAGCCCCTTATGGAGCACGGTTCAATTCTGACACATATACAGTTACGATGGATCAGAATCAACTTGACAGCAAATTGAAAGAAAAAAAAAAAAAAAATGAATGAATGGCTGTATCTTATTCCTGATCAAAAATTTAAACAACAGTCATTAAAAAGAGAAACTCTGTTTACACTGTAGGAACTTTTAAATTATTTTTTCCTGGCACTTTACAGTATCTTATTTATGCACCTGAAGCTGTATTCATCAGTGGCCCTGTCCAGTGTCCCTGTCAGGCTATACCTTAGGTTGTGCAATGCAGCCTAAGAACATATATCTGCAGAAGCCAGCCAGGTGGTGAAGCACCTCTTTGGCTAAACTCAGGATACTGCAAGAGGATCAGGCACCAGACGCCACTGTTAGGCTGTGCTGTCTGACCCCACTATGCTGGGGCTGCCTTCCAAGGAGTCCCTGCTAACCTCCAGAAGAGGTAATCAGCCTGGGAGTGGGGTCTGGTTGTCCAGAGGGCCAACAGGCTCAATATCATGAAGAAGTAAGTTATACCATACCAGTGTGCCACACTATGGCAAGTGGGAAGCTCTGCCTTGAAACCATAGTTTTGCAGATTTCTGAACTTTATATAAACAGTTTTGTTGGCAACCTGCTTTTTTGTTGTTACTGTTCTACATTATGTTCTTGAGTTATTCATGCTGTTATAGGAGCTGTCTTTTCCTCATTTTCATTACTTTTTTTCCCATGGTATGTATATCCTGTAGTTTTTTTTTATCCATTCTCTTATTAATGGATAACTGCATTGGTTTCAGTTTTTAACTACTACAAGCAATACTATGAACATTCTTTGCCTGTCTCCTAGAGTGTAAGTAGCTTTCTTCCAGGTAGGTACCTGGGAGTGGAATTACTGGGTTACACGATATGTATGAACACCTTCAACTTCACCAGATAACAAATTATTTTCCAAAATAATTGTACCAGCTTATACCCCCCACTGTGTACAGTGTTCAAATTACTCTATATCCTTGTTAGTACTTTATATTATCCAATTTTTTCATTTCTGCCAATCTGATAGAAGTGAAATGATACCTCATAGTGATTTTAATTTTTTATTTTCCTAATTACTAAAAAGATGGAACATCTTTTCACATGCTTATTGGACATCCTGGTTTCTTCTTCTGGAAAGTGCTTGTTAAGAATGCATGTTTCTATTGGGTCAGGATTGTTTACATATTGTGGGTATTAATCTTTTGTTAGTTATATGTATCATAAATATCTTCTCCCACTTTTGCAGCTTGCCTTTTTACTTTCAACAAGGTGTCTTTCAATAAACAGAAGTTCTTTATTTGAGTGTAGCTGAATATATCAGTTCTTTCCTTTATGCTTTGTGCTTTTGATTCTTGTCTAATGAATCCTTTCCTACAGAAGCAGCGGTCCTTAACTGGGATCCACAGACTAGGTCTGTAGGATGACCTCAGGAAATCTGTGAAACACCTGAAATTACAAGCAAAATTCTGCATAGGGACATATGAGCATCATTCTGTGAAGATGGGTCAGAATCTTCATCAGATCCTCAAAGAGGTTTGTGATATAAAAACAAAGAATCATTGCTAAATAACAATAAGCATTACATAAGATATAATTTTAAAAAATCCTTTGGTTTTGTCACTTATGGTGGTGTATATGGTAGGAGAGAATGAAGAATACTAAAGTAGCAAACATGAGAGTGTTGGAAAAAGGCAATTAAAGGGCAAGAGAAGAGGGAATAAAGCAGCAGACATGGTGGATAAGAGTACAAATTACGGGGTCAGAGACCTGAATTCACATCCTGGCTCTGCTGCCAGTTGTGTGACCCTGGGCAAAATACTCTACGTTTCTTAGCTTCAGTTTCCTCACTTATAAAATGGTGATAACAATAATAGTTGCATCATAGGGCTGTGGTGAGGATTATTACCATTAACACTTACATATAGTGAGCACTCATTACGTGTCAAAGTGCTAAGCACTTTACATCTATGATCTCATTTACTCTTCTCAAGAACACCATGAGGCAGCCACTATTATCATATCCATTTTACAGTGAAGGAAACTCTTGAGACAAGCTATATAACTTAAGGTCACATAATAGACTAATGGCATGGAGGGATTTAAATGCAGATAGTCTGAACTCCAAAACTACGAGAGTACACTGTCTGCCTCATCATAGCTATTATGACCAGAAGAGTCCCTGAGTGGTGCAAATGGTTAAAGTGCTTGGTTGCTAACTGAAAGGTTGGTGGTTCGAGTCTCCCCAGAGGCATTTCAGAAGAAAGGCTTGGAGATCTATTTCTGAAAAAAATCAGCCATTGAAAACCCTATGGAGCACAGTTCTACTCTGACACACAGGGGCTGCCATCAGTTAAGATCAACTCAAAGGAACATGGTTTGGTTTTTTTGGTTTATTGTGACTAAAGGGAGAAACAGTCCAGAAACAATTTTAGGTAAGCAATGGAAAAAAAAAAAAAAGAGAACATCTAACTCAAGAAAGTATATGAGAGGAAAAGGAAGAATAAAACCAATTTTCTCCTCAAGAAGAGGTCACATGTTGATTTGGGTGAGGGGAGGGACAGTATGGAAAGAGTCTGTGACCAGCATGATGACACTGAGGAAAGGAAGTACACTGAAACATGCACATAAGATATAGACAACAGAAGCAAATAATAGTCTACACACATTAAAAAAAAAATTGTTTCAGCACTTTCTTTCTAATCCAGGCATTCTCTAGAGAAACAGCAGATGTTTCAAGGCACTAAGATATAGCATCTATAAATCCCCATCACAACACCACTACAGTTCCCGCCAACATGACTAAATCCTTAGATGGTAACATCCAAAACCTGATCTCTTGAAAGGAGCCTTGAATTACATTTCTTCATTTGCTGATTCCTAATATCTGCACAGTTGGACTAAGTAATAAGGCTAAGATTAGAGCAAGGGGATTCTGGTTGGGGTGCTTACCTGCTCCAGCCTTTCAATGAGCTCTGAAGGAGTAAGGACCACCTCATCACTACCTCCATCAGAGTCCTGTCCTATGAGATCCAGTTCCTCTGTCATCTTCTCTGAAACCAGAAACCTAATGAGGATGAAAGTGCCAATATCCTGTAATCTGTTTTCCAAGTATTTAGAAGAATACCTATTGTCTTCTATTCTAACTCACAGTGACCCTATAGGCCAGAGTAGAACTGTTCCACAGGGTTTCCAAGGAAGCAGACTGCCTCATCTTTCTGCCACAGAGCACCGGTGGATTCGAACTGCTGACCTTTTTTGGTTAGCAGCCAAGTGTTTTTACCACCAGGGCTCCTATTTACAAGACTCACTCACTCAAAACTCAGTGCCATATAGTCAATTCTGATTCACAGCAACCCCCATTCGGTTTCCAAGGCTGTAAAATCTTTACGGAAGCAGACTGCTTCATCTTCCTTCTGAAGAGCAGCTGGTGGGTTTGACCACCAACCTTTTGGTTACCAGCCAAATGCCTTAACCACTACTCACCAGAGCTCCTTATTTACAAGACTAGACAACTATATATATGAAAAAGGAAAAGTTTTGAGTGAGGTTGTATAAGGTCATCAGCAGTGGCTACAGAATTTCCAGACTTTGATTTTTCAACTCTTTGGGTCCTCCTTTCAGGTTTAGGTTTGATATCGGTTTCTCAGCGATGGGCCCCCTTACATCTGTGTACACCTCGAATTCTGCACCTATCACACCATATAATGGTTATTCTTTTGTACACCTCGAATTCTGCACCTATCACACCATATAATGGTTATTCTTTTCATTGTCTTCCTAGTAGAGCTCCTTTTCATCAGGGACTGTGTTCATTACAGTTCAAACATGAATCACGCATTGCTTAGTGCCTGGCACTTCTAAGTGATACATTATTTGTGTGGACCCAACGCTTAATTAATAGCAGGCACTGTGGGGAGAACTAATCAACACCTAATTTCCTTGACTCCTAAGAGAAGGCTGGTGGTTCAAACCCAGCAGCCACTCCTCCGAAGGAAGACTGGGCAATCTACTTCCGCAGAGATAACCAAAAACCAAACCAAACTCACTGACTTCCAGTCGGATCCGACTCATAGCGACCCCTCCTTGGGTTTCCGAGGCAGTGTTGTTGTTATTTGCCGTGGAGTCAGCACTGACTCATAGCGACCCCTCCTTGGGTTTTCGAGGCTGTGTCACTACAGAAGTAGGATTGCCCAATCTTCCTTCCGAGGAGTGGCTGGTGGGTTTGAACCGCCAGCCTTCTGGCTAGCAGTCAAGTGCCTTAGGCACTATGCTACCAGAGCTCCTTCCGAGGCAGTTGTTGTTGTTATGTGCCGTCGAGTCGGCCCCGACTCATAGCGACCCCTCCTTGGGTTTCCGAGGCAGTATCACTACGGAAGTAGGATTGCCCAACCGTCCTTCCGAGGAGTGGCTGGTGGGTTTGAACCGCCTGGGAAATCCAAGAAGGCGTCGTTATAAGTCGGAATTGACTACATGAGAATGAGTTTGTTGTTTTGTAATTTCCTAGAGCTACCAGGTCTGGGAGCACCAGATTAGTTTAGGTGTTGTGTGGTGGGTAGGGGATGAAGGGAAACAGCATATTCCTCTCACCCCAGTCCTCTTTCGCTGGCACCAACACAGACCACCCACTTCCCTCAACACGCGCACACGCGCGCGCGCAACACACACACAGAGTACCTGAGGTTCCACCCAGATCCTCGCTCGAGATACTGGGAGGCAGAAAAGCACTCCGAGGTAGCAGATGTCAAGGACGAAGCTCCAGGGGAAGCAGCCTCGGCTCTCCCAAGGACCACCTGGAAGCGGCAGAACAGAGCAATTCCTATAAGGCCTTTCCGGGACGTTCCCCACTCCAGTTTCTCAGCTCCCGCGCTCCTCTCAGACACTCTCCACCCAGCCACTGCATCATCGCGCACTGAGGACGCTATCCAATCACTGCCCGAGGGAAGAAGCCGGGGCGGGGACTTCAGTCTCAGAATTCACTCTCTAGCAATTGAGGAGCTCTGATATAGCGTAATGCCTCAGGCACTTGACTGCGAACCAGAAGGCTGGCGGTTCAAACCCACCAGCCACTCCTCCGAACCGCCTCGTAAGCCCAAGGAGGGGTCACTATGAGTCGGGTGGGACTGAACAGCACATAACAACAACAGCAATCTTCCGAATGGAGGCAACAGTGTTAACCCCGCCCATCTTGGCCAAGGCTCAGCAGTGCGGTCCGGGCCGACAGCACCCAGGAAAGGTCGGGAGGTGGCGCCGCACCACCGCGGATTGAGAAAATCCGGCGGTGTCTGTTTTGCGCCCACAGGGATAAATCCCTGAAATGAGTTTTCAGATGTTCCAACCCTCAGACTTTGAGCAGCTCCAGCTAATAAACTGTCTCTGCTGGTTCAGATTGCAGATTTGTGAAAAATAAATGTTTTAAACCACTAAATTGGGGCGGGGCGGGGCGATGCACTAGATGACTGGACTTTTTGAGCATTGGTTTCAGTGCTTTTTCAAAGCATAAACTCAAAAAATAAAACCACTCAAAAATAAACCCAATTCTCCTTACTACATAGATGGTCAGTGATTTTTTTTTTTCCCAAATATATATTCCTTAAATGTTATAGATTTCAGTCTAAGTATTCCCTGCATTTAATCTGGCACAAATAACTTCTACACAGAGGTCAAACCAAGAAAACAAAGACAAAAACAGCCACTGCGTCAAGTGGTTTCCAACTCACAGTGACTGTATAGGACAGAATACAACTTTCTCAACTAAAAAGGGGAGCTCCTTAAAGAAATGAATTGACACAGTGCCTGTGAAGATGGGCTCTTAATCATAGCAACTATTGTGAGGATGGCGTAGGACCAGGAAGTGCTTCCTTCTGTTGTACATAAGGTCGCTATGAGTCTCAACACGCTGGATGGCACCTAACAACAATCGTTACAGTTTCCAAGGCAGAGGTAGACTGCCATATCTTTTGAACCAACTACACTTCCAGCAACAGGAGAAGGCTTAACCACTGTGCCACCAGGACTTCTCTGCAGAGAAGTACCAATTACTTATTTTACTGATGCAGACATTTACTTCCTTTTTCTGGTGCCAGCTGCCTTCTCTGATCTTTTCCTGTTCCTTCACAGGAGATCTGGAGGCCAGCCTCAACTTCCTTACTTAGTAAAAGTGTGACCTTAAGTGATTTCTCTGAACTTCAGTCACACTACCTGTTAAGTGAATAATATTTGTTTTCCTGAAGACAAAGAGAGAGGGCAAAAATAATTTTAAAGACTTTTACTTCTAAAACTTTTGATTCAGCTACTTTTCACCAGATAAAACATTTTTGAAGAAAATTAGTTTTACTATGTGAAAAAGTATTTTAAGATGTCAAAAAAAAAAAAAAAAAAGAACATATAAATATACAAAATGTTCTTATTGTTGTGTGCCGTTGAGTCAGACCTGACTCATAGCGACCCCTCCTTGGGTTTCCCAGGCAGTATAATTGTGGAAGTAGATTGCCCCATCTTCCTTCTGAGGAGTGGCTGGTGGGTTTGAAGCACCAGCCTTCTGGTTAATAGTCAAGTGCCTTAGGCACTACGCTACTGGAGCTCCCAATATACAAAATAAGAATATATAAAAAAGAAAATTACCAACTAATACTCTTAATGAACACAGACACAAAAATTCCCAACAAAATCCTAGCCAGTAGAATCCAACAACATATCAAAGAATAATGCATCATGACCAGTGGGATTCATACCAGGTATGCAAGGATGGTTCAACATTAGAAAAATGATCAATGTAATCCACCACAAAAATAAAGGAAAAGAACCACATGATCATATCAGTTGACAATATCCAAATGCTGAACAAGATAGGAATAGAAGGAAAATTATCGAACATAATTAAAAGCATGTAAGCCAAACCAATGACCAACATTATTGTCAGTGGAGAAAGACTGAAAGCATTCCCCTTACAAATGAATATGAGATAAGGAGGCACTTTATCAATACTCCTACTTGGAAGTTCTAGCCAGCACAAGAAGGCAAGAAAGGGAAGTAAAAGGCATCCAAATGAGCAAAGAATAGTAAAACTATCTGTATTTGCAGATGATGTGATCTTATGATCATAACAACAATTGAAAGCTTCAGCAAAGAGGCAGGGTACAAGACTGACATAACAAAAATCAGTCAGATTTCTTTACTCTGAAAAGGAAATGAGGAATACTATACCATTTACAATAACCACCCAGAAGATGAAGTACTTAGGAATAAATCTAACCAGAGACACAAAAATACTTGCTGCCACTGAGTTGATTCCAACTCACAGTGACCCCCATTGGGTTTCCAATGCTGTAAGTCTTTATAGAAGCAGACTGCCTCATCTTTCTTCTGCAGAACACCTGGTGGATTTGAACCACTGGTCTTTTGGTTAGCAGCCAAATGCCTTAACCCTATACTATTAGAGCTCCTTAAAGACCTACACGAAGGAAACTACAAACACAACTATGAGAAACCAAAAGAGATCGACAGAAATGGAAGAATATACCATGCTCATGGATAAGAAGACTTGATTGTGAAAATGTCAGTAGTATCCAAAGTGATCTACAGATATAATGCAACCCCAATTCAGATCCTATCATCATTCTTTAAAGAGATGGAAAAACCAATCACTGACTTTATATGGAAAGGAAAGAGACCACAGGTAAGTAAAGCACTACTAAAGAAGAAGAATAAAGTAGGAGGCCTTACACTCCCTGCCTCAAAACCTACTCAGTGACAGTAATTAAAACAGCCTTCTGTTGGTACATTGACCAACACATAGACCAATGGAACAGAATTGAGGACCCAGAAGTAAATTCATTTACCTATGGGCAGCTGATCTTTGACAAAGAGCCAAAATTCAATAAATAGGAAAGAGGCGATCTCTTTAATAAATAGTTCTGACAAGACTGGAAAATAAAACAGGACTTATTCCTCACACCATATCCAAAAATGAACTAAAGTTGGATCAAAGCTAATGTATGAATGTAAAACCTAAAACTATAAAGGCCATCAAAGAAAAAATAGGGACA